ACAATGCGGTCGACTTCCGTTGATGGAAAGATGTCGATCCGAGGTCGGGAGATGGCATCGAAGATGGGTGCAAGACACACACAACAACAGATCCATCACTTGGAACTTTCGGGAGAAGAAGCCATCACGTTGAATTTCTGGGGTTTTATCCATTTTCTCTCAGATTCCCCTTTCTGATTGGTCTCTCGTTGTCACCTGATGACAATTCGAAACCTTTCGGGACGTGGGAGAGGTCAAAATCGAAGTTTAATTCGATCTCCAACCGGAAATGGTCGACGGACTTACATTCTTCTATTGTTTAAAAGTTAGCGTCGCATTTTCATAAAATAAAAATCTATTTCTAACTACTACATATTTTTTCTTTAAAACAATTATTTTAATGCAAATTTTAGTGAGGGTTCAGACCTGTCCAGAGCCTCACAGTTTCCCTGGTCCCTTGCATCCTAGGGTTCAGAGATGAGGGTCCTTTCGTATACTCCTAGTCCAGGTCTCTGGGACTGGTGTTCTCGATCTCAACTTCCCACAACTTCCCCATGTCCTTGGGATTTTGGGTTTTTATAACATTTTCACCCAAAATCCCGAGGTTTTATTTGGTCCGAACAGTGGTCTCCTGTAACTCCATTAGTCCTGGTCTGTTGCTAGAGACGCGATTTGGGCCGCGGGGTCAGAACATCCCCGTCCAAACGGTTCCCCTCCAGAGTCAGGTCATGCCCTTCTCCAGGTGATGGTCCCGTAAATTCAGATCTAATGTGTACTTTCTGACTCGGAGAAGACACAGCTGATTTGAACTCTATGTAAGGTGACTATCAAAATTTTCCCCAGAGGTCAATCCCTCTCTCCTTTCCATGATGTATGATCAAGGATCTGTCAATTAGGTCAGGAATGCAACAATTAAATTGTCTCACACCCCGTTCTTTGGCCACTCCTGTCCTATTCGCAAGAAAAGTCACCAAATTATTGGCCCCGGTTCAACAGCAATAACCTCGTCGGTCAACCAAAGTCCCAGCCCCACACATATTAAAATTTATTTAGTCAGATCACAGAATAACTTGATCTTTTATATTGCCATAATGTGATTAGAATTTCCAACAGCAGAATGAGACCTGTTCTTGGTTCTTGAATTGTTGAATTGCTTTTCTCACTATCATTCAAGTTTATAAGGATCACATTTGAGAAGTATTTCAATACCTAGCACAAGTCCTTGAGAACAATGAAAATTTTTGCAAATCAAATAGTTCTCAATTCTTGTAATTTGAATACAGTAATACCTCGACTTATGCTACCCCGACTTACGTGAACCCAGAGTTACGCAATTTTCAAATCTCGCCAATTCGTCTTTTGTTTGAGCGCCACGCAACTCTTGATTACTCACTTCCCCCACACTATTGTTCAGCTTACATGTTCGGACGTGTCACGCGGAATCGACACATAGCTACAATTTATTTTATGTTATTTATTTCTGTGTTTGTTATATCTACAGAGACTTGAGAGACTCTATGTGGTGATTTCTTGTAACCATGAATGAATCAAAAGACAAGATAAGATTAACGAGAACATTTATTGGCTTACATACATCTGACTTGGATTTTACACAAATTGCGAAATTATACCCCGACTTACGTGAATTCGACTTACGCAGTTATCGCTTGGTCCCACCTATCACGTAAGTTCGGGGTATCACTAATTGTACTTCTATCTTTAGTTTGAATCACTATAGATTAATTTGAATTGTACCTAGCAATAAAATATTTCTTATGTATGTAATAAAAATAATTTTAGTACTACAGTAATACCTCGA